TCTGTTTCAAACAGAACATAGTTGCCCCAGTACCCCTGAGTCGTCACGGTCCTATCACAGTTGTGTGTCTGGTAGACTTCCTGGGCCGTCATGGCTGCTCTACGGTGGGTCAGGGTTTAGATTCATGACGGTTTTGGGTCTGATTGACTCTACAGAGGTTTGGAGATGTCTCAGGCTGCTGTGTCCCTCCTCCAGCAGAAGGGTGGAGGACTGCTGCTGTACCAACCTGTCGCAGTTCATCTCCTCTGGCCACACAACACCAAACATCTCCATCAGCTTGTAGCAGTCGCTCCGAGCCTGCAGACACAGGCGGCGGCAGGGCAGAGTCACGCGGCCGTACTCCATGCACACCGGGGCGTAGAGGGCACACAGGAACATCCTCAGCTCTGGGGAGCACCGCAGGTTCACCATGGGATGGAACGGCTGCAGGTGGACAGACAAAGAATCACATGACTCTTCTAGGAGGTCACCCTAACACGTCCACGAAGTCATCAGTGGAGCCATCAGCCCACGGGGTCCCTGCATGCACCATTCATTATCGTACTGATAGCTGTGGACACACACACACACACACACACACACACACACGTACGCACGCACGCACACACACACACGCACGCACACACACACACACACGTGCACACACACACACACACACACACACACACACACACACACACACACACACGCACGCACGCACGCACACACACACACGCACGCACACACACACACACACGTGCACACACACACATGCATGCACACGCACGCACACACACGCACGCACACACATATGCACACACACACACACGCACGCACACACACAAACACACACACGCACGCACACACACACGTGCACACACACACACATGCATGCACACGCACGCACACACACGCACGCACACACACATGCACGCACACACACGCACGCACACACATATGCACACACACACACACGCACGCACACACACAAACACACACACGCACGCACACACACACGTGCACACACACACACATGCATGCACACGCACGCACACACACGCACGCACACACACATGCACGCACACACACGCACGCACACACACACAGCAAAGCAGGGTGCCAGATCCCGGTCGGTCTCCAAAAGCGAGACTGCTCAGGCCGCTTTAGTGTAATAATGGCAACACTGGACTTCCCCGCACTCTTCTGTCCCGCCCATGTGCTCGGAGTAGCGCTCATGACATCACAGGCCACAGACCGCCCATGTGCTCAATCAGGTCCGCATTCCTACGGCTCGTGGGCTGGGGCGGGCGGGCGAAGCGGAGTGGGAGGATGCTAGTGTGTGAGTGGTGATGGGTGGAAGGATGCTGAGGTGGAGCCACCCGGCAGGACATGAAACGGGCTGGTGTGCGGGTAGAGGACCCGTGATGAGTGTGTGTTTATGTAGTTCTAATAGAACCCTGAGACCCGGTTTAAAGCCCACAACTGTGATGAACTACAGATCGATGAAAAAGACTAAATCAGCCTAAACTTTCTATAGTTAGTGTCTGCGTGTGGTCCAGCCGCGCGTGCGTGACCCGATGCATCAGAACCAGCTCGGTTCTCGGGCTCCACTCTGGTTCCTGCAGGCTACCCACGTGCAGCACAATGACGTGTACTCTGCAGGAAACGGTTCAGTAAACATGTAGGCCAATAGTTACTGAAGTAACTATTTTTATACTCTCCTCCCCACCCTGGCTCCGTGCAGCCCGAGGCCCGACACCGTCGCACTCTAACCACAGAGAAGAGCCACGTCAGGACTGGATCAGCAGACCAGACGTCGACATTTTCACCATATTAGGAGACCGTTTGGGACCCCCCCCCCCCCCCTCATGTTCGTTAGTCCTGGACGGTCCAGGCAGAGCCTGATGGAGCTGCACACGTCTACCTGGGTCAGGGTCAGGGTTGGACCAGCGGTGGAGTGAACTGGGATAAACATGCATCCTGTGGGTTTCTGCGTGTTCTTCTGGAGTTAAAGCAGGCCTGACCTCAGATTGACCCTGCCCACTTCTGAATCCCGTCACCATTACCAACGCAGCCCGGCCTAGATAAGTGGTCGCGTCAGGTTTAATGAAGGCTGCTGCTGAGACGCTCCAACATGGCCGACTGCCCTGCGATGATTTCCTCTTTCATAAACACCTCTCCTTCCCCCATTCTCCCCCACTGCCATTACAAAGCTCCACATTTCTAAACTCGGCGCCATGGCAACCAGAGATGCACCAACAGGGAGGAGGCTTGAGGAGGTCAGGGAGCAGGGCAGAGGAGGACCTCCTGGGAGGTAAAAAAAGATCTTGCTGCTTTTGTTAACAGCACAATTGGGACCGTTTCCTTGGCAACGGGTGAGTCCTGTCTGAGGGGGGAGGGGGAGTACAAAGGAGGTTCAGGAGGGGGAGACGGTTAGAATGGTCGACCAATCAGCCGCGTCACACGGTTCCTAAAAAAGAGTTTGAAAACCTAAAGAGCTTTGACAGTCTGTGTGTGTGTGTGTGTGTGTGTGTGTGTCCCCAACACACACACACACACACACACACACACACACACACACACACACACACACACACACACACAGGCTGCTGTAGGCCAGCTCCTCGTCGACTCCACAGCCAATAAACACGATGTTGGACATTAAATAAAACAAGAGACTCTTTCATGGCCCAGGACACGCCGGGAAGGATTTACCAGCCAGCGTGTGTGTGTGTGTGTGTGTGTGTGTGTGTGTGTGTGTGTGTGTGTGTGTGTGTGTGTGTGTGTGTGTGTGTGTGTGTGTGTGTGTGTGTGTGTGTGTGGCTGGGATACATCTTCACTAATCAACACAATAACATGACATGAGACTCCTGGATGTGGTGCCAGCGCTGAACAGAAGCCTCCAGCTCCGGTTCCGACCCGCTCACACAGACTGGGCGGAGCTTCTGGGCTCTCAACAGCAGCTGTAACCCGACCCGCGTTATCTGGACGAGCAGTAAACCTGAGACAAGAGGCTGAAAGAGGCCAAGCAGATTAAAATCTAACACAGAGGGCCAGCCATGGAGAGGGGCACAGACCCAGTTAGCCCGGCCCTGACCCGCATCCCTCAGGAACAAGCCTCTCCCCATCAAACCAACGTCCACGTTAACAAGCAACCTCGGTCAGCTGGGACTGTTGGAGAACCACAGCCAACAGGGAGGAACTCAGAAGGGTTGAGAGGGTTCTCGTTAGAACAAACGTGTTCTCCAAACTGCTGCAGAGTCTCCACGGCACCTGCAGCCTCTGAGAGCTTCCACACGTCTGGAGTCAGCTGGCAGCAAAAGTGCTAAAAACAGACATAAATGCAAACTACAGGAGCTTTCCAGGCAAAACCCCAGAGTTGTCCAGAAACAGTAAATCTGAAAAGAACGTTTGACCTTCAGCAGTCAGACCTGAGGAGCTGCCACGCCCAGGAGCCTCACTGCCACGGGCTTCCAGAGCTGTCGTCGCATCTCAGACGACTAGCAGGGTTTTAGATTCAGGTGTGGAGAATAACGAGTCTCAGAGAGGCGTAGCTCCAACACCTCCCGGGTGGTTACCACAGGTCAGACAAACGTGAGACGGTTCTGGCAAATGAACGAGACCGAGATGGTTTAAATACACCACCGCATGCAGAACGTGTTCCTCGCAAGAGCTGGTTTCCAGCTGTGCATCAACAGCTGCATGTATGTGTGTGTGCTGCAGATGCGTGTGTGTGTGCTGCAGATGCGTGTGTGTGTGCTGCAGATGTGTGTGTGTGTCTGCTGCAGATGTGTGTGTGTGTGTGCTGCAGATGTGTGTGTCTGCTGCAGATGTGTGTGTCTGCTGCAGATGTGTGTGTGCTGCAGATGTGTGTGTGTGTGCTGCAGATGCGTGTGTGTGTGCTGCAGATGTGTGTGTGCTGCAGATGTGTGTGTCTGCTGCAGATGTGTGTGTCTGCTGCAGATGTGTGTGTGCTGCAGATGTGTGTGTGTCTGCAGATGTGTGTGTCTGCTGCAGATGTGTGTGTGCTGCAGATGTGTGTGTGTGTGCTGCAGATGTGTGTGTGTGTCTGCTGCAGATGTGTGTGTCTGCTGCAGATGTGTGTCTGCTGCAGATGTGTGTGTCTGCTGCAGATGTGTGTGTCTGCTGCAGATGTGTGTGTGTGTGTGTGCATACGGAGCTTTCAGCCATTCTACTTCCTGTCCTGTCAGACAGAATCCACCACGCTTCATCTGATGTGAGCGCAGCACAACATCCCCGTTCCCAAGGCTCTCAATGCCCCTTCCCGTTTTAGCTGTGAGGTCATGAGGAGGTCACCGATGACAACAGGGAAGATGGTCAACACCAAACCGTTTAGAAATCTGCAGAAAGCATAACAGCTGCTCTAAAGTCCGGACCTTAACTGGACTTCTGCTCTTTTCTAACAGCTCCGCTTAAAGAACAGCAACACGTTCATGTCAGCCGCTTTAAGTAGTCTGTCTCATTTTTATAGGTCAGCGAGGACTGAAGTGATAAACGGTCCTCACGAACACACACACACACACACACACACACACACACACACAGAGACAGAATGAAGAAGAGACAGGAGTTCTGGCGGGCTGAACAGAATCAGCAGGAACTCCTCCGCTGTGCCAGGCCTTCATCACTAGCATCATGGCTGCTAAGCAGAGCTAATTCCTGTTCAAACCTCCGTCAGTTCTCTTGACGTCCTGCTCCTCGTGTGTTTCGGGTTCCTTCGTGGACCGGATGGAGCGGAGTCACCAGGAGGCTTCTGAGCCCTCAGACACCTGTAGTGAACCCTGACCAATCAAAGTGCTGGGACACGCCGTGCGGCCGGGTTAGGATTATTGGACCTGTGAGTTTTAAGTCAGGTTAAAGTCTGGATGAAGCGAGCGCTGCTACAGCAGGCAGACCGAGGTCAGAGGTCACGGAACATCCTGGACTTTATCTCACCCTCACTGCCAAGTGAGGACGACACAGATGGTCGGCACATCCAGAGTCTCCCTGTGATGGCAGAGTGGGCGGGGCGGCTCAAGGTCAAAGGGTAAACAGGGACAGGAGCAACTGGTCATGTGACAGACGCAGGTTGGTCCATCAGAGCATCAAGTCCCATGTTATCAAACAAGTTAATCCAGACTGGCCTCAACAAAGGATCGGCTCACACAGAAGGAGGGATTAAGCCAGCAGAGTGACGGTTAACGGATCCAAACATGCAGATGGTACCGGGACCGGTCCGAGCTAACCCGGACTCAGCCGTGGTTTAAATCCGGTTATGTAAACAGCTTTGGTGGTGATCCCACAAATCCTGACCGGATGTGGACAATCAGCCTTTCAGTAAATACGCCACCCAAGACCCCTGGTGCTGCGTCCCTGCAGCTCCGAGAGGCCAAGCCCCCGCTGATAACAGCTGTGTGGCGCCCCACGCCCGCCCGGCAGACCGCGTTAACACGTCCACACGGTCGGGGCTGAGCTACAGCAAGAGGGCTGAACATCGATCGTTTTTGGGCCGAAATCGCGACTTTAGTTGATCAGAAAGCTCAACTTCTCTAATGTTTCTGACGGCACACGTCCGTTCAGACTACGGTTCAGACCGCGTGCGTCTCTCACGGAGCGGATGTTAGAGAGGAAAAGCTGTCCGACGTGCAGCCGGCCGGCCGCTAACGCAGGAAATCTGTTTCTAGCTGCAGACTTCCTCTCCGTGCATTTGTGGAGCAGAACGTGTTTTTCTAGAGCTGCTCTAGAGAAAAATCACACGTTGCTTCACAAACACATCAATAATAATAATAATGGGATAAAATATGAACAGCTTTTATTGTATGATGAGAGAGTAAATATTCATGTGAATGACCAGATTATAATCTAGGCCATCTTTTCTCTTCACCTGCAGGACGGCTCGGCAGGCTAGCGCTGGACCTTAGTTTGCAGAAAATCGTGAATTTAACTGAAATCGTAATTTCTGCTGAAAAATCACAATTCAGTCTTCTCCTAAACTCGTTCAGCCCAGCTTCTAGGGCTAAAGTAAGATTTTTATGGTAAAGAACACAAAAACGATTTTATCTGCTCTAAATGACATTAAATATGGATATGTTCATGATCCCAGCCCGGTGCGTCTGCAGACAGCGGACCCTAAAGGAGAAGCAGCACGTTCACCTGGTGGATGTTCTCCAGCCTCACCTGCATCAGCTTCTGTTTCAGGGTATGGAACGTGGCCTGGCCTACACTCGCTAACAGCAGGTGTGTGTGTGCTTCTACCACGCTGCAGAGCTGGTGCAGGCTCTAGTTCTGCTCTAAACGTGAATGTTTTTGGTTAAATAAAGTTTATTTGATGGTTCTGTACGTGTGCCGTTTCTGATTCTGGTTTACGGAAGCACAGAGATGTTGCACGGCTCTGTCGACTCTGCTTTTTAAATACCGACATGACGAGCAGCTGTTCTCTGGAGTCGTCTGCATGATCTGTGACATTTACGACGCCAGTTAAAAGCTCCTGTCGTCGTTTGGACGTGACGTGTTAGCAGTGTAGCGTACCTCCATGGCGAGAGCGGCCGTCTGCTGGTCGTAGTGGTTCAGCACGTTGGGCATGAAGGTGGAGTTGTACGAGAGCCCCTGGCACATGCGCAGGGTGATGGGCTCACAGGTGAACAGGCTGTGGCTCCCTGCCGCCGTGTCCATGGGGATGGCCACACATGCAGTCAGCATGGACACAGAGAGAACCCAGAGGAGATCCATCGCCGGCTCATGCACAGAAGACCGGCGGGGGCTGGTTAGGCTGGGTCGGTCTGAAAGGCTCCTCTTGCTGCTCAGGCCACTGACAGAAGGTCGCGTTTAATGCTGCCTGCATCCGTCACCATGGAGACCCTGCTCAGCATCACCTGGGTGGAGGCTGTGAGGTGGCCCCTCCTTTCTGATCTTCGATGGACAACAATGGCTGGAAGAGAAGAGGTGAAGCCTCTGGAGGAAACTATCCCACCTGCAAGGAGAAAATTGTAAAATGGTCCCGCATCAGCGCGCGGGAAGCTGCTCCGCATCAGTCACAGGTGAGTACTGGACAAACGCTAAAGGTCCACATGTGAACATGAAGCATTAATAACTGAGGAGTAAGTATGATGACATAACCGGAGCTGAGCCATCCACCTGCTTCCCCTCAGCTCCCGTTAGCATCCCGGTGCACCGGCTCTAACCGGGAGGTCGGCGGGGTCGGTCTCAACAGCAAAACGTGATTCATCACATCTACCGACAGCTCAGCGAGGCAGAGCGAACAATAGATGACGGCTGGCTAGTTCTGCCTGACGGTAACGTAACGTAAACAGCGTTACCGTTCACCGGGCGGCAGCGTGCTCACAAAAACGGTTTTAATTCAAACCAACTTCACCTGAACGTCCCTCACGTGCGGTAACGGGATGTAACAACGACTCGGTAACGGCAAGCGCCCGCCGTCTCCCTCCTCTTCTCCTCCTCTTCTTCTTCTCTGGTCCGAATCAAGCTGGACGCATTTTCTAAACTACTTCCGGTCTGAACTGTCATAATAAAAGCTCATTTTCTTTCACCCAACTTTTCAGGTCAGATTTAAAAATCACTGAAAAGAAAAAAATCACTCTTCAGTGACATTTGACCACACAGGACATGCGAATTTTAAATAGACAGAAGTGTGTTTAGACACATTACAGTGAGACGTTTAGACGGTCGGAGGAAAAACAGGAAATTATCTACAACTAGAACAACTTTGAAGTTGTGCTCTATTAGTAAACCTCTCTCGTGGATTTAAGTAAAATTAAACACATTTCTATGTAAACATTATACTTCACTATGCCACATGTACTACTATGATATGTTCCTCAGTTACTCAAAATGGAAACAATAACACTAGGCTGTAGAAAGATCAAGCTAAATGCTAATGTTTCACAGCTTGTTTTTCTTGTAGTTATGTGATGAAAGTGATTCAATTCTTTTTGGGATGAGAAAAAGATAATCTGGATTATGTGGTCTCATACGTCACACCCCCAAAGTCTCAGCACGCTGATAAAAGCTGAGCTATCTGCTACACACGTGTATCTAAAATCATATCTTTGGTTGTGATGGCTACTGCACACGCCTCCTAGCTAGTTGTGATGGCTACTGCACACGCCTCCTAGCTAGTTGTGATGGCTACTGCACACGCCCCCTAGCTAGTTGTGATGGCTACTGCACACGCCCCCTAGCTAGTTGTGATGGCTACTGCACACGCCCCCTAGCTAGTTGTGATGGCTACTGCACACGCCCCCTAGCTAGTTGTGATGGCTACTGCACACGCCCCCTAGCTAGTTGTGATGGCTACTGCACACACCCCCTAGCTAGTTGTGATGGCTACTGCACACGCCCCCTAGCTAGTTGTGATGGCTACTGCACACGCCCCCTAGCTAGTTGTGATGGCTACTGCACACGCCTCCTTGCTAGTTGTGATGGCTACTGCACACGCCCCCTAGCTAGTTGTGATGGCTACTGCACACGCCCCCTAGCTAGTTGTGATGGCTACTGCACACGCCTCCTTGCTAGTTGTGATGGCTACTGCACACGCCCCCTAGCTAGTTGTGATGGCTACTGCACACACCTCCTTGCTAGTTGTGATGGCTACTGCACACGCCCCCTAGCTAGTTGTGATGGCTACTGCACACGCCCCCTAGCTAGTTGTGATGGCTACTGCACACGCCCCCTAGCTAGTTGTGATGGCTACTGCACACGCCTCCTAGCTAGTTGTGATGGCTACTGCACACACCCCCTAGCTAGTTGTGATGGCTACTGCACACGCCCCCTAGCTAGTTGTGATGGCTACTGCACACGCCCCCTAGCTAGTTGTGATGGCTACTGCACACGCCCCCTAGCTAGTTGTGATGGCTACTGCACACGCCCCCTAGCTAGTTGTGATGGCTACTGCACACGCCTCCTAGCTAGTTGTGATGGCTACTGCACACACCCCCTAGCTAGTTGTGATGGCTACTGCACACGCCCCCTAGCTAGTTGTGATGGCTACTGCACACGCCCCCTAGCTAGTTGTGATGGCTACTGCACACGCCTCCTTGCTAGTTGTGATGGCTACTGCACACGCCCCCTAGCTAGTTGTGATGGCTACTGCACACGCCTCCTTCCTAGTTGTGAGGACTACTGCACACGCCTCCTTGCTAGTTGTGATGGCTACTGCACACGCCCCCTAGCTAGTTGTGATGGCTACTGCACACTCCCCCTAGCTAGTTGTGATGGCTACTGCACACTCCCCCTAGCTAGTTGTGATGGCTACTGCACACGCCCCCTAGCTAGTTGTGATGGCTACTGCACACGCCTCCTTGCTAGTTGTGATGGCTACTGCACACGCCCCCTAGCTAGTTGTGATGGCTACTGCACACGCCTCCTTGCTAGTTGTGATGGCTACTGCACACGCCCCCTAGCTAGTTGTGATGGCTACTGCACACGCCTCCTTCCTAGTTGTGAGGAATACTGCACACGCCTCCTTGCTAGTTGTGATGGCTACTGCACACGCCCCCTAGCTAGTTGTGATGGCTACTGCACACGCCTCCTAGCTAGTTGTGATGGCTACTGCACACGCCTCCTAGCTACTTGTGATGGCTACTGCACACGCCTCCTAGCTAGTTGTGATGGCTACTGCACACGCCCCCTAGCTAGTTGTGATGGCTACTGCACACGCCTCCTTGCTAGTTGTGATGGCTACTGCACACGCCCCCTAGCTAGTTGTGATGGCTACTGCACACGCCTCCTTCCTAGTTGTGAGGACTACTGCACACGCCTCCTTGCTAGTTGTGATGGCTACTGCACACGCCCCCTAGCTAGTTGTGATGGCTACTGCACGCGCCTCCTAGCTAGTTGTGATGGCTACTGCACACGCCTCCTAGCTACTTGTGATGGCTACTGCACACGCCTCCTAGCTAGTTGTGATGGCTACTGCACACGCCCCCTAGCTAGTTGTGATGGCTACTGCACACGCCCCCTAGCTAGTTGTGATGGCTACTGTACACGCCCCCTAGCTAGTTTTGATGTCTACTGCACACGCCCCCTAGCTAGTTGTGATGGCTACTGCACACGCCCCCTAGCTAGTTCTCATGGCTACTGTACACGCCCCCTAGATAGTTGTGATGCCTACTGCACACGCCCCCTAGCTAGTTGTGATGGCTACTGCACACGCCCCCTAGCTAGTTGTGATGGCTACTGCACACGCCCCCTAGCTAGTTGTGATGGCTACTGCACACGCCCCCTAGCTAGTTGTGATGTCTACTGCACACGCCTCCTAGCCAGTTGTGATGGCTACTGCACACGCCCCCTAGCTAGTTGTGATGTCTACTGCACACGCCTCCTAGCTAGTTGTGATGGCTACTGCACACGCCCCCTAGCTAGTTGTGATGGCTACTGCACACGCCTCCTTGCTAGTTGTGATGGCTACTGCACACGCCCCCTAGCTAGTTGTGATGGCTACTGCACACGCCTCCTTCCTAGTTGTGAGGAATACTGCACACGCCTCCTTGCTAGTTGTGATGGCTACTGCACACGCCCCCTAGCTAGTTGTGATGGCTACTGCACACGCCTCCTAGCTAGTTGTGATGGCTACTGCACACGCCTCCTAGCTACTTGTGATGGCTACTGCACACGCCTCCTAGCTACTTGTGATGGCTACTGCACACGCCTCCTAGCTAGTTGTGATGGCTACTGCACACGCCCCCTAGCTAGTTGTGATGGCTACTGCACACGCCTCCTTGCTAGTTGTGATGTCTACTGCACACGCCCCCTAGCTAGTTGTGATGGCTACTGCACACGCCTCCTTCCTAGTTGTGAGGACTACTGCACACGCCTCCTTGCTAGTTGTGATGGCTACTGCACACGCCCCCTAGCTAGTTGTGATGGCTACTGCACGCGCCTCCTAGCTAGTTGTGATGGCTACTGCACACGCCTCCTAGCTACTTGTGATGGCTACTGCACACGCCTCCTAGCTAGTTGTGATGGCTACTGCACACGCCCCCTAGCTAGTTGTGATGGCTACTGCACATGCCCCCTAGCTAGTTGTGATGGCTACTGTACACGCCCCCTAGCTAGTTTTGATGTCTACTGCACACGCCCCCTAGCTAGTTGTGATGGCTACTGCACACGCCCCCTAGCTAGTTCTCATGGCTACTGTACACGCCCCCTAGATAGTTGTGATGTCTACTGCACACGCCCCCTAGCTAGTTGTGATGGCTACTGCACACGCCCCCTAGCTAGTTGTGATGGCTACTGCACACGCCCCCTAGCTAGTTGTGATGGCTACTGCACACGCCCCCTAGCTAGTTGTGATGTCTACTGCACACGCCTCCTAGCCAGTTGTGATGGCTACTGCACACGCCCCCTAGCTAGTTGTGATGTCTACTGCACACGCCTCCTAGCCAGTTGTGATGGCTACTGCACACGCCTCCTAGCTACTTGTGATGGATACTGCACACGCCTCCTAGCTAGTTGTGATGGCTACTGCACACGCCCCCTAGCTAGCTGTGATGGCTACTGCACACGCCCCCTAGCTAGTTGTGATGGCTACTGTACACGCCCCCTAGCTAGTTTTGATGTCTACTGCACACGCCCCCTAGCTAGTTGTGATGGCTACTGCACACGCCCCCTAGCTAGTTCTCATGGCTACTGTACACGCCCCCTAGCCAGTTGTGATGTCTACTGCACACGCCCCTTAGCTAGTTGTGATGGCTACTGCACACGCCTCCTAGCCAGTTGTGATGGCTACTGCACACGCCCCCTAGCTAGTTGTGATGGCTACTGCACACGCCCCCTAGCTAGTTGTGATGGCTACTGCACACGCCCCCTAGCTAGTTGTGATGGCTACTGCACACGCCTCCTAGCTAGTTGTGATGGTTACTGCACACGCCTCCTTGCTAGTTGTGATGGCTACTGCACACGCCTCCTAGCTAGTTCTCATGGCTACTGTACACGCCCCCTAGCTAGTTGTGATGGCTACTGCACACGCCCCCTAGCTAGTTCTCATGGCTACTGTACACGCCCCCTAGCTAGTTGTGATGGCTACTGCACATGCCCCCTAGCTACAGAGCTTCGAGTTTGCATGAGCGAAAGGGAGGAACTGACGCCCTCCAGTGGTTAAAGCTAGAACGCAACTCTGGTTCTGTAAAACAATGTCCTCGTCATGTCGGTGAAGCTGGAAAATAATCCTAAGATTTTTTTCCTCCTGTGAATATTAATATTGAGAATAGGGAACGGCACTTACAAAGTTACAATAGTTAATAGAAACACTTCCTGTAATTATTTCAAAACAAAATGCTAAAATGCTCTTTTGTTATTGAGTAGCTTTTTGCATATTTATGGTCGTTTTTAATGTCTGTACTTTTACTTGAGAATGTGTTTTTAAGTACTGTACTTTGCTACATTTCAGTCGTTACAGAGTTCAACATTTATAGGCCCAAAAATAAAAGTTGCTTCACAGCATCAGAACAGAATGAGAGAAACCTGAGCGCCAAGTCTGGCCTGT